ATGAAATCAGCAAAGTGCATCCCCCAGGATGAAATCCTCGAAAGTAGCACACATCCTTCATATGTTATGCAAAAAGGCTTTATATTCTTATTTGGTGGTCTGCACCAGACACCCTCTGTATCTCTTTGTTCCTTGTTGGCTAAAATATCAGTTCACAGGAATTGTAAATCCTGTTCTCTTTGCTCAAAAATCAAATGTCACTTTCTTCCCTGAATGTTACCCAGTCACCTCAGCATTTCAATCATGTGTATCCCTCAACTATATTTCAGTAAAAAGTTATGTCAGATATCTTCCTGCTAATGAACATTTCCAGTTTCTCTCAATTATTACTAAGTCTTTGCACAGTGTCGCACAGTTAACATTTTTGTGCTTTATATATTTTTTATATTTGCTCATCACAGAGTACCCAAGTCATGAATGTCAGGTCTGAGTATCTGTACCGGTATGACTCCGTTGACCACTTTTTCTTCAGCTACAAGTTAAACACCTTCAAAACATGGATAAGTTCAAGAAATCCAGAAAACTGGTTTTTCCCTTACCACCAAGAAAGAACTTGCATCTGCTGCCAAGTCTTCTCCCACTCTGGGAGACGGTCTGATGCTGCATGAAACACGCCACCCTACCCGTCAGGCCAGTGACTCACTTCCTGCACCTTCCATCTTCTTTCTTCTTGCTTTCGGAGTCAGGAGAATTCACTGAGAAGGTCCTGTCCTGTTTTTCACTCCAACCCTCTTTGGAAATCCTGCAAGCCTCTAAAAATATGTCACCTACAGCCATGTCATTCCTGTTGGTACTGACTAAGACTGGTCTAAACAGGCTTTGTCTATTCATATAAATGCCAGTGAGTAATGGATTGAAAAAAAGATTGAAAACTGTTGATCTAGGCATAGTAATTTTAGTACTGCACATACATACATACTTGTTTTCCTCTGTGAATGGAAGTGGAAGAATACTGCAACGCTCTAATTCAAGGCCAGCTATTGCTGTTGCAGTCAACTGCTAGCACCCCGACAGAGCGGCGGGAGCTCCGCTAGCCCTCTCTTCCCTCTCTCCCAAGGACTTTCCCACCTACCTCTGCCAACTTGCTAGCACAGTCAAAATTTCGTGTTTGTTAAGAGCCTACACAGCATTCTCAAACACTGCCAAAAAACCCCACAGTTGCAAGCATACGTACACACAACTGCATGATGCTAACCCTCTAGTCTCCCTAGACATCTGGATTGCTATGTCTTTGCACCAGGGTATCAGAACAAAGCTCAACTTCAAATTAATCTCCCAACCTAAAGGCTTTAAGAGCACCAAATGAAATTAAAGGAAGATCAGATTTTGCATTACCAACCCAGCAGTATCACTGTGTAACTGCCCATGTTTTCATACATAGAGAATAGGAGCACAATCCCACCAGTCCCAGTGCTACTAACCAACATGAATTTACCCCTCCAGTAAATCTTATCACTTCCTGTAAATATAACTACAACTGAACACAGTTTTGAGTCTTTGTCTCAGCAGAGCTAGCAAGAAATACTGCTGGCCAATGCATATACAATGATGATTATTATTCCAGGGTGTTTGAGTAAGTTCTCACAGCCCTCCATCGTAAAGGTTCAGTCAAGACTGCACACACAGAGCTTTTAGTGGTTTATTTCTTAGGAGAAAGGTTCATGTATTGTCTCTTGTTGAAGTGAAAATCCAGTAAGTTCTAGCCCATATCAAAGACACACAAGGTTTAAATGAAAGGAGAATGGTGGAAGAATAAAAGAAAAAAAAATGACAAAAGAGGTACCTGAAAGTTCAAAGAAATATGATAAAGAATTAAGCACTGGACTGCAATCTGGATGTCTTTTTTTTATTATTTTAAATAAAGGAATACAAAGAAAACAACATTTTTTAAAATCACAGGTTTTTTTACTGACAATTGTTTTTTTTATTCAAGCAAATCAGCAAGTTCAATCAGTACTTACAACCACGAATTCTCATTTGGGGGATAATGCCATCAGGTAATTTATTAAAGGTTAAAGACTCCTTGCGCATCACTATTTCCCTCATGAGTTTTATTCAGCCCAGGATACGGAAAACTGGGAAAAATTTGGGAAAATATTTTGCACGGTTTAGTTATGTGAAATGCTTCTCCTGGCTTAATCGTTTGGGCCTCAACCGGGCCAAATATGCCCCATACCTAGGGACATATCCAAGGAGCATCAGACAAGTGGAAGGGAAGGACCCTGTAATCCAGCATAATGCCTAAAAAAGGTCAGTAAACATGGGAGAGGTTGTATTCGCAGCTAGGCAATGAGGAAGGGATAAAATGCATTTGGAAGACAAATTTCTTCATCTCTATCCCAGAATTTTATACAGCGCACTGTGCGCCGGGACGATACCTTCTTAGGACAATACGTTCAGTCAGTCTCTCTATATGTAAAAAATGTCCTTTCTTGTTTTAAGCAGTAATGGTACAAAATGGAAGAAGGACCCTTGAGATTTCCCAGTTTGCGCTGCCAGTATTATTTTAATCTAACCTTATCAATAAGTTTTGGGTTTATGGGTGCTTCACACGGTTATTGGCAAAGGGGAAAAGAAATACGCAACTCTAAGTGTAAATGGAAGATGAATACCAAGAAAGTGGGGACCTACTGGTTCTTGATTTGGACCATGTGGAAAGTGTTCCCCCCTCTCTCTCTTTGGGACAGCCCTAAGAGGCCAGAAGCAGATGAAGTATCGATATGCACCTGAAGTCCTCCAATCTTTCCATTTCTGTGAGGCATCCAGCCCCTGCTCTGCTGAGGAGAAGCCCAAAGTCCACAGCCCATTTCTCAGCAGGTAGCTCTGACCTTCCACAAAATGAAGTTTGAAGATGTGCATTGTGACTCAGATGCTTGATGGAGTCCTTCACCCTCCAAACCTGAAGCCAGACTTTAATACAGTTCCAGTGAGTTAAGAAGAAAAGAGTATCAAGGAGAAAAAATGGTAAGTAGATGGACTAAAAGGCCAACACAGGGGGAGCGAGCTGGTGACGTTGTTACGTTTAGTGTCTGCTTTTGAACTCGACATTAAGAGTGTTTGCCTAGCAAATATTCAATCCAGGCTAGCAGATTTGTTGGTATATGAGAAAATAGCTCAGCTGCATGCAACTAGAAGCCTAAAACATCAATAACTTCCCTCTAAACAAGTGCAGAGTGGGAAGATGTATGGAAAATAATTTCCATTTATTAAGTTTCACTTGGATACCACCACTTGATGATGAAATCTTGAAGTCCCAAAGCTAAGAAAAATCTCACTGACCATGGAGGTCCATAAGAGTTTTGTCTACGATTGTAATAGCTTGCATCTCATTAATTTACTAATGTAACTCAATCAACAGTAAAGAAGGCAAAACAGAAACAAATAGAGAATCCCTGCTGTGCTGCTGGAGCTCTCTGTTCTCTTATGCAGCTACCCAGCCTTGATCTGTGGCTCCACAAAGTGCACACCACTGCTGCTAGCAGGTAAACGGAAGCATTACGGAGTTCAGGAAAGGGAACTTGAAAGACTGTAAAATAAAGCTCTCTTCTGCCAAGTGCCGCATGGATCAGAGCCTAAGAGATTAGAGAAATGATTAAAAGACAACCAGTGTCCATAAAAAAAAAAAACAACACACCACAAGTTGTAAAGACAGTTCCCACTCTACTGAATCACAAAATATTTTATTAATTCTAACATTAATTTCATCAGTCCAGCCCACAGAGACAAAACTTTAAAGGTGCTCACAAAAACGTTCCATCTACATGGGTTTAGAAAGACTGTGGAAGAACCTACACATGCATCTCTTACAGGCAGAAACCCTCCCCCCACCCCCAATCACATAAATAGGTATGCCAAAAATGGCATGAGCTTATGAGGATTCAAAGTAAAAGCTGTACATTTTTTTATAGAAAACATGAACGAAGGCAAATAACAAAATACATCCAAAACTAATTGACACAGATGCCAAGACTTCTGAGGAGAAAAAGGTGGACATTTTCATGCTTCTACACAAAAGCATACCTCCAGCTGCTACAGACAGAAACTTTCCCTGTGAGCTGGAGCTCTTTTAATCAACACCATAATGATGATGGTCAATGACCGAATACATTGCTATACATACTACTGGTCTGATTGGGTAAGGCAGATCCCACACACCAGGGCAGAAAACATCTTGTACCGCTGCAGATTAAACCCCATGTTTTGATAGGACTGTATGCGTTGACATGGTCAGCTTATCAGAAGAGGAGATCCCAGACAAAATGCAAGTTATATCTGAAAGACAATTCTTTTTGTATTAACATCAGCTGCATATCACATCAGCTATCTGCGAAACAATTTTTGTTCATACGATGATTTTTATATGAACCATTTAAACATTTACAATTTAATGAAAGATACAATTTCTTAGATTCGTTTTCTCTAACTGCAATTTTTAAACTTGTTAAAAGAATTATTGCTAGGTTTGATCTCGCAAGTTCTATGCATGTTGAAAATCCACATGACGTTGAAGTAAGTTGTGCAGCCTCAGACACAGCTGTATAGCTTGATCCATGTGAATCTAAATAGCTTTTCCCAGATCATCACCTTTAAATGTTGTTGCCTTATTTCTTTAAGAAAGATGAGAAAAACCCCGTTTTACTCCTCAAATCAGACTTAAGCATGATTAGCAACGCATCAAGTGCCATGAGCATCTAAAATTGTCGCAACATTTAATGTATAGTATTGTCAAGCATGTGCAATCTGTATACATCTAGATTGTTATTTGTGCAAAAACATGCAGACCTACTCTGCCTTCATGTGTAAATCCACACTGTCTTCAGTGAGGGTTTTGTGGCAGTCATTTCAGGCAGAGCCTGGCCTACATTCACCTTCTTGGTATTTAAAAGACTAGAAGAATTATTAACTATCTGTTAAAAGGTCCAACTGCAGAATGTTTTAGTAGAAAAATAAACATTTTAAGTTATTGGCAGATAACATTAGTGCAATTATTTTGACTGCCTTACTTTCACACAGTAGATTAAAAAAAAATTGTCCCTTGTGAAAAGAGCCTAAGACACTTCAGAAGCAGTTATGTAGCTGCCAAATAAAGAGAAAACCGGAGCAGATTCTGTGGCATGATATAACCACTGCACGCACTTTGCGTAGCTCTCAATGCTTAGTGCCTTTTAATGCTCCAGAAAAAAAAAATCCAAGGCTTGTAAACGAATTACAGTTCTTTCTGTCCAAAAATATATCACTTATGTGATTTTCAGAAGGCTGACTAACTGCTGACTAGAAAGAGAACATTTTCATATTCAGCTATATCCTAGATGACATCTGGATCAACTTCTTTCTTTGAAGAACCATTTTTGGTAGTCCGAGTCGGTACATGGTCGTAATAACGGTGCTGGGTTACCATTGTAAGCGTTTGACTCTGCTTGTACACACTTCTGGGTTTGTAGATGAAACAAAGTACCGTCCTACAAAAGACAGAAATAATTTTTGCATTTCAGGTGGTCAGAATTACAGGCATATCACCGTGTTTTAAAAGCAAAGGAAGACATTTGTAACAAAGAAATATCACACATATCCTTCTCATGGGGCCCTGCAGTGAAGCCAAAATGTCTAACTTGAGCATCTCTGAAACTTTATCAAAAGACCCTGCTTTTAAACCTAAATTAAAGATGCTTTAGAATGATTCGTACCTGTAAAAAATGCGCTAACTTCATTCACTTGCATTGCCTTTTGTTACTGCACCAGAACAGGGGCAGAGAAAACCAAAGCCAAGTACAGGCATTACCCAAATTCACCAACTTAACTGCACATCTCGCAAGTTACAAAAGTTGTTAGTTAAGTGTAGAAGTTGGGAATTTTTTTTTTCTAAAAATATATCTCTTTCTTCACAGGGTATAATTTCAGTGGAAAAGGCAAAATAACCTAAGCGTGCCCCTTGCCCGCAGACATGTGTGAAGCTAGCTTGCTTTGCTGGAGGGCAGCGCAGCTGCCTCAGAGGTGTAAGGTCTGACTGGCCTCCACAACCAGATTCCCCAGAGAACATCTTTTGAGGCCTCAGGCCCTCCTGTTGCGGGAGTCTCCAGGAACATTTTATCTCCTGTTCACATCGCTCACTCCAATCCAGGAGTGCTGTCAAGCAGGCAGCGTGTCCAACTGCGGAGAAGTGCTCTGCTCCGAGACCCTTCCTTCCCAGGTGACATTCCCACACATAACCATCTCTAGAGCATCTGACGGCCTCAAAAGAAAAACGCCAACACCGTGTTTCTGCGTGTAAGCCTGACTCCTCTGAAAGTCTGCTCTTCTGTCGTCAGGAACGTCACACTAATTGCACCTCGAGCCACAGCCCCTGATGCCCAGCAGTGTGTGCTTGCTCATGGGCTTGCCAACAGACTCAGCTGCTGAATGACTTTCCTGTTTCCGTCATAATAATTCAAATTTTTGAGAGGACTAATCAATATCTGCCTCACTTTTGACTCAGTGACTCTAAGAACTTCATTCTTGCCAGGTTGCTGGGAAGGCTGTTCAAATCTTTCATTATGCTACATCCACAAGGACAGCTTTTCCAGTGTCTGACACTTCTCCACACGAAGCAAGAGAAATGCGATACTGACACCTCACCCATCACTTGCCTTGAAAGGCGGGGACTGGTGACTTTGACTTAATGTGATAGAAGAGGAGGAACCGGAGCAGAGCAGTGCATTCAAATCACACACAGACACAAACTGATCACGAGGAAGAAAGATGATTTAGGATCTGAAACTTTAGGAGTTATTTTTAAAGTTAATGGTTAGGAATGCAGTGGAAACAAATGTATTCCAAAACTGTGTTTTCTCAGTTTCCTGAGGTGACTGTGGCTCATTCAGTATATGTCATCTTGGGGATTAATGCATATGACCTTGAAAAATTTTGTTGCAAGTCAGCATTAAAAATGAAACGTCATTTAGAAAGTCATCCATTTAAATCTTGTGTTTTACTCAGTAATATCACTTTAAGCTTCAGTCTGGACTAGATTTAGTGAATGGACACTATTTTTCATATTTTTCTTTAGAATTTACTCTGCCACCTATCACTGGTGGCAGTATCTAAGCATGAAATTTAACAACCGTGGAGCCTGTAAAGTTTAGACACATTATGCAGACACATTATGCAAATATACCATTTTGATATATTATGTGACCTTTTCCCTTAGCCAAATGATAACACTCCAGAACCTAACCAAAGCCATCATTTTTCATCAAATTTATTGTCTCTCAGGCATCCAGGAACTCCTTCAGAGATTAAAAACTACTAAACACAAGGTTTCCTAAGATCATGTTATGTTTATAAACATACTTCATACTTCTCAGTATTTCTCCTGTCTGGGAGGCAGCATTAAACCTGAAGAAGAGAGGTACAGATTTGCTGAGTCCCCACAGGAAGATGTGTCCTGCATAGGGGTAGGAGTATGGCAGAAGGTATTTTTTTATTATAGAATCATGGAATCACTTAGGTTGGAAAACATCCTTAAGATCAAGTCCAACTACAAACCTAACACTACCAAGTCTGCCACTAAATCACGTCCCCAAGCACCACCACATCTACACGTGTTTTAAAAACCTCCAGGGATGGTAACTCTACCACTTCCCTGGGCAGCCTGTTCCAATGCCTGACCACTCTTTCAGTAAAGAAATTTTTCCTAATATCCAATCCAAACCTCCCCTGATGCAACTGGAGGCCATTTCCTCTCCCCCTGTCACTTGTTACTTGGGAGAAGAGACCAACACCTGCCTCCCTACAACCTCCTTTCATGTAGCTGTAGAGAGCAATAAGGTCTCCCCTCAGCCTCCTCTTCTCCAGACTAACCAACCCCAGCTCCCTCAGCCGCTCCTCATAAGATTTGTTCTCCAGACCCTTCACCAGCTTCACTGCTCTTGTCTGGACACGCTCCAGCACCTCAGTGTCCTTCTTGTAGTGAGGGGCCCAAAACTGAACACAGTACTCCAGGTGCGGCCTCACCAGTGCCGAGTACAGGGGCACGATCATCTCCCTACTCCTGCTGGCCACACTACTCCTGAGACAAGCCAGGATGCTGTTGGCCTTCATGGCCACCTGGGCACACTGCTGGCTCATGTTCAGCTGGCTGTCGACCAACACCCCCAGGCCCTTTTCGCCAGCCAGCTGATGATGGTGCATCAAATTACACAACTGCATATTACACTGCAGCAAAGCTCAGGGAGCACTTCTGGTGCTTGTGGGAAGGGTCAAGAGAGATGGTTTGCAGAGGAGAAGCAGCAGCAGCTGCTTAAAAGCACAGAAGAGTGTAAAGTAATGGTGGTACATGGAGTATCAGGGATACATGGTGGTATAAATACCAGGAAATAAAAGAAGTCAATGAAAGTAGAGCAAAAGTAGGCCTCCCACAAGACTGGCCAGGGAAGGGGTTTGGAGGCTCCTCAGTTCTCAGGAGAATACAGTAGCAGTGGGATGTGAGAGAGAACTGAGCAGCACACAGAAAGCTCTAGATGTGGACAGGGCGAAGAGAGAGCTCTGCCAACCTTCCCAGCTCCTTTGAGGTTAAGGCGGCCGCTTTCCTTCTTCTTGTCTTCCTTTTCGTTATGACTGGCATACTCTTTACTGCTGCTACCCTCTTCCACGTTCAGATATTAAAAGCCAAGATAGCTTATTTCTCCCAGAGATTTACGCTGACGTTGTGGCCCGCATGATGGGCAGGCAGAAAGATAAAAAGAAAAAAACCGAACAATTCTCCTCCCACCCACTGTCTCCCCCCAAAACCCCAACAATTCTCCTCTGCCTCTCAAAAAAACAAATCCAAAAGCAAGCAGGCACACTTACCTCTCTGAAAACAAACTTCTGGTTTTCAGGAATACTTTGGATATTTTCTTGACACAAGTACATTGTCAAGTAGTCAGTCCCTGAATCAACTGCTGCGCAGACTTCTGGTTGTCGGGTGTTGTAACGTATTTCATTACGGGATGTGTACTCAAAAAACTATAAATCCAAGAGAAGAAACACAGGACAATGGCCATTCCATACGTACACAATGAAGTATTTGTAAGAGGAATATACTATGATAGTATAATTAAGTTCACATATTAAAGTTGCTATTATGCAGAGAAATTCTGCCAAAAATATTCAAGGAGCCTTAACTGCTCCTGTTTGCTCACTATTTTGCAGAAAATCGATCGCACTACAGCACACATTGACCCTGGTAGCACTTAAAATGTATGAAATGCTGAATAAATGCCCTGGCAAACAGATGCTCCAGCATTACAGAACTTACAAAATTTGACTGTAATATTCTACTTCACGTTCTAGATCACCCTTAAAAATAGGATGGAAACTAGTTTATAGCCTGATATTATGTCTTCCTAATTCAGCTGTCACAAAACAACGTTACTTTTCATTAAGGAGTTGCTGACTGTATAGTTCAAACGCAGTTTGGTCAAGGTTCATTTCCAGTCACAAAGTACTCAGGATGCATGGTGGTGAGCATTTTATTATATAACATTTTAAGATATTATACAGAGCAGATCAGCTACAGCTGCTTTTAAACATGAACAGAAGTTTATTAAAGACAATCTACGGGCTTTGCTTGTTGTACAATATTCTACAGAGGCGTTCTGAACATAGTCTAAAATATCTTGGCTTTTGTAGCAATTATGGCTGAAGACTTCCTTAAAATTTTTATATTTATCATGGACACTTGCCAAACCTTGGACTTCATTAAAGAGCGGCAGAGTTTGAGAGTTGTTTGTATTTAGCATGCTTGTAAATAATTTAGATGACTATAGTGCACGGATGTGTGTTTAGAGCTGATTTAGATTATACTCAGTAGGGTAGAGGAGAGTTTTATACACATCAGAAAATTGCTTGCTACCAATAGTATAGCTGCATTAGTGGAAAGCAATAAAAGGATTGAGGGAGAGAAGGAATCCTCCTTCATTTTGTTTCACCCCTGGAGAAAAAGACTGTAAGGCTTTGTGAAGGGGGCTGTACCAATTCGGAAATGTTGTATTACTTGAACTTACCACTCCTTAGCAACCACCGAGACTAATTAACCTTGAAAGAAAAACTAGAAATGGAGTTTTAATGTGAAAAGGGCTGCGTGATTACAAAGTCTGCAGTCATCCATTTCCAGGTGTAAGAGCTCTGATCTAGCCTATGCTGATGGCAGCAGTTTCATGAAATCTCCTCTGCTGCTCCTTTTATCACAATCCAGAATTTCTCTGCCAAGGTGGCTGTCGCAGCCATACACAGACCAATGTTGTCCACTGCACGTTGATCCACAGGGTATGCCCCAGCTGCACCAGTGCCCTGTGGTACCAGGGATGGAGGCAGATTTTGGCTACCTCACCATACCCTGAAACACACTCTCACCCCTCTCTGTGCCTGGCTACTGCTCTTCTGCACACAGGAAGAAGTTTGCACTTGATGGGTAGAAACAGCAGAGAGGTTCGTAGAATCATAAAGGTTGGAAAAGACCTCTAAGATCATCAAGCCCAACCGTTAACCCATCACCACCATGCCTACTACTTACCAGGTCTGATACCCCTTTCACAGAAAACCTGAGGGCTTTGCTAAGCTCTTTGCTTGCCTCTCCTTATTTGCCTCAAATCTATCAGGTGCAAAAGGGAATACTGGGCAGGTAGTGTCAGACAAAGCAGGCTGCCCAGTGGTTTCCCACCCTCTTATCACATCAGGTCGGCTTCCTGCCATCACGCGCTGGTGCCCTCTGTGCTGCTTCCCAGCCACACCAAGAAGGGCAATGGGCTTTACTAGTGTTGAATTTCAAAGCCTTTCATTCTTGTCTACCAGGGCAGACACTTCCACAGAACATCCGCAGCCTGACCAAGTAGCCAGTGTTTTGCATTTTTTCTGCCTCTCTTCCACATACACTCAGCTCCTACCACTGCAGTCATATCCTCACCTTTTTGCTGTAATGAACACGGTAATTTTGAACAACCCACAGCTAACTTTCTTACTGCTTACACAACAGCAATTCAAAAGGCCTAAAGAGAATCCTCTCACTCACACCATGGATTCAAGGAAAAATAGAAATAAATTACCAGGGAACTCAGTCTTCTGAGAGTGGTTTTATTTACTAAGACATAAAATGAGAGCAGGTGCTGGACTTTATAAACAATCAAGGGTGCAGAGTGCTCTCCTCTCGGCACAGTGCACACAGATATTCAGAGGTCACTTTAAATGGAGAATTGCTTCCAGTGAAAAGAGCTTTTGCAGTTGTCCCCTACATAAGCAGCCACCTGCCAGTAGCATATCATGCCAGAGGATGGGTGTACTGGAGTGTAAGACACATATGGCTGACCAAGTTAACCTTCATTAATGTTAAATTCTATCAGGATGTTTTTAGAGAATAACTTTACTGAACTGTACTCTGGAGAATAAACTTCATTCCTTTACACCGTGAGACAGTGTGAATGTGCAGCACGGAGTACTACTTGAGGAAGAAAGTGATGAATGGTGGAACAAACTCTGCAACTGGAGGAACGGATGAGAAGGAGGAGATCAGAGGATTAAGAATGGGAACTAGCCAGGAAAGAAGAAAGGCATGTGAAAAGTAACAAAATGTGACCTAGGGTGGGTGTTAACTAGTGGGAGCAATAAGTGAGCGGCGAGACAGAGTAAGGGCGTTAAAGACTGGGAGCCAGCCAGCATGGAGAAGACAGTGTTAAATAGGGTGAGTGGAGAACCTAAGGCTGTCTGTGACACACGGTGCAGGACAGGGGACTGCAGCGAAGCTTTGTAATGAGGGTTTGCTGCTAAAGCTGTATATCGGTGATGCATGGAGTGATGAGAGCAGACTGGAGCAGAGCAGGCAGAAGAGTTTGGGATTAGGATGGCAGATTGCCAAGGACAAAACAGAAGTTAAGGGCTGCCTGTTGTCAGCAAACATCTGTGAAACACTGGTGAAGTTCCTTACTCTCCCTAGCATTGACACAACTAGAGGATGACCAACCTTGTCACCACCAGTACCACCAGCTGACAGTGGTGGATGTACATGTGGGAGATTGGACTGTTTTGGTCCTGCCACTGTCAGCTGCCAACTGAGCTAAGGAATTCACACCACCAGGAGCAGCCTGTTAGCTTTTAAGAACGACTGTCAAAAGGCTAGGGGGACGGGAAAGAAATGGAGAGAAATGTCCTGCTGGTAGGTTTCACGGTATTTGAGAGCCAGAAGAAGGAGGTGCAAGTTCAGCAGTCCTGACTTCCACTCCCCATCTCACTTGTGCTTTCACATTTTCTCTTATTTTAGCCTCCCTCTGTTCCCCCACCTGCAGCTCTTCCTGCTGTCCACTTCTTCACTTGCAGCTACCACCTATCACCCCCGCTCATGCCCCCATTTGCCAGCTGGTCCCATTTGCCAGCTGGTATCTCCACTCCCATGTTCAGGCCCCCTGCCCCTTTCCACTAAAGTGGTCTCCAGTGATTCTGCTCACTTCCCGCTCCCTCCTTGCAGCTCCTAACTACTCCTTCCTCTGCCGCACACGCCCTGCTCCTCACCAGTTGCCCTGCCTCTGTCCCAAACTCCTGCCCTCTGTCACCTTGGCCCCTGTCAGCCCTCCCATGCCTTTTGCCCATTTCAAGAATATTGTTTCACCCGTTTCCTGTGTCTGGCCTTCCCTCCTCAGGCTCCACAATTCTCTCGTGTCATCTCCATTTTCTTTTTATCGGTTTACATCTCAGTCGGGTATCTCCTCGGTTCCTCCGTCCTCCTTCGGCCTGGATGCCAGCAGAGGGAGCATTCACCGCACAGCTCCCAGAGCATCCCCGCTCCCAGCCCGGTGCCCGCTACGACAGCTACGCTGGTGCATCGCCCCATCAGCACAGACGCAAGAGCATTAACATCCAGTGATGCGGTGTCTCTGCGGTAAATTCAGTTAATCTTTTAGTGCTAGCGAAACAAAGGATAACTGTAAAAATGTCACCTCATGACAATTCATCTCTGAATTGTACTTCTCATTTGCTTCCACCTTTTATCCTATGTCTTTACTTTTTTCTTGGTGGAAGGGAGAAAATTTAAATAAACTTTTTTGCTTAGAGAAATACAAAAAGATTCAATCCCTCTCTTCTCTGTAATCTGTAATACAAGGAAAAAAAATCTATAAATACCTTTTGCATGTGAGCATGTAATCCCATGCGTGAAATACTTCTTGATCTACAAAAGCAACCAACTCTTCCTCATAAGGAAGTGGCTTAACTATTAACTGATTATTAACTGATCTTCTGTGTACGTGTATAAGGTATGCTTAACTTGGGCATGGAGCTGAACTGAGGAAGTAAAATGGGTTGGTGTGGTATGGCTTAGCATGCTTGACATACATCTGTCAGTACCAAGATCCTTTGGCTTTTACAATGCAACATTCTTCTCCTGCCCTCCCCTGCATCTTGGCCTCCACGACAGAAACATTAGGAAAGTTAAGATGTAAACTAGACATAAACTAGTAAATAATACTAAATAATAGTTCAAATACTTAAGGCAATAAACTTGCTATCAGAAACAAATCTACTTCCTTTTAAGATCCGAAGCACAGTGCTCAGACTTTTTTGTTTTCCTTCCTCCCAATACAGACTTGTTTTTCACTCCTGGAGCTTCAATATTTTTTTAAAGCACAGTTCAGAAAGATAACGGATGCACTGCTTATCTGCGACATCTCTGGTTCTTTTCCAACCTTGCTTTTCCTTTCCTAACTGAATGTTTGGATTAATTTCCTTAATTGGTTAGAAGCCAAAAGCTCAAGCTAGATAGGCAAGTACATATTAATGTGCCACACATCAAACACCAAACCTTAATTCTAGAACGCAGCCACTCAAAACCATGCAAAACAACCAGTGTAGAACGGCACATGGTGCTCCACACCACTTTTACCACGGCATTACACAGAGAGCTTGACGGGTATCGTAACTCACCATTGCTGCACACAGTTTCAATCAGCATGAAGAACGCCACCAGCAGGCATTTTCAGCTTCAGAAGTTAAAACCAAGAAAGCAAGAATGAAAGCATTGGAGGGGATCCCTGCTCTCCAGGACTCTGGAGGCCAAGCCGAGGAGGACATTTCTGTAGAGTGGAGTACAGGAGAAGATGCCGCGCGAAACTTCTTGTGCAGTTAGACAAGCACCAACAGGAAGAGGCACGATGACAGACACAGGCAGAACTTGGTGAGGTTTCCAATGTAACTAAGGGCTTTAGAGACATGGACAGACAATAGCTCAGAGATGTGCTGGACTGCCCAAGGCTGGAGATGAGTGAACACTGCCCTATAGGCACTACACCTGCACTGCTGTGCTATTAACCCCTGCTAACGAGCTCCGTGGAAAGGCATAATTAAGGTATGCATGAGTTCCCTGGTCTGGGTAGACATGTATTCAGAATGAAGAAAATCTGACCTGAAGATACGTCAAAATTAAAAGCATTCAGCGCAAGAATCAAAATTAGAGCTAAAATCACCTCACTGTTGCAACATATTCTCTCAGCCCTACTGAAATGCCTTTACCCTACTTTTTTACATTACAATCACACTGTTAGTTAAAATGAAAATAAAACCTGAATCTTACCTGATTTTGTCCCATGCCATGACACGGGTACAGTATGATCCTTTGTCCAGTTATTTGATGATCATTTGCAGGGTTATAGTCAAAACAGAAGTTTGCCATTCCTCTATTCTTCAGCTAATCAAAACAAAAGAAGATTTTAAAGTATTAATCTAAAGTAAGGAAGATATGCTGTAGTCATTTTACACCCATCCTGGTGGGGTGTGAGGTTTATCTCCTAGAGCTGGTGCAAATTAACTGGAATAGATCCAATGGATCAAATGGCAACATCTCTCTGACTAATGTGAAATAAAACTGTTGGGATTGTCTTGACTTTAGGCATTGACGCAGCCAGACACAATGGCTTCCACTAGGAACGACCCTGTGGTTCCAGTGTATTTGCAAACGAACTGGGTAGGAACTATTAAAAGTTGTGCTGAAACCCAACAAGCCAGCAACTCATGCAGAACAGAATAGTCTGCCATGCCTTTCCCCCTCCATCCCCCAGCATCTACTTGTTCAATTATCTTATGAAAAGACTACCTACTTTTCTTAGCTTGTCACTGGGAGATGTTAGAAAAATTTGTTCTTGAAAGGACTCCAGTACCCTCTCGAGTTTGAAAAAGCAGACAGATTTTAAGACCAGAAATCACGAAAATGTGTAAGATACATCTCTGGAAAGAGACACTAGGTGTGGTATTAAATGTTCTTTAGTAGTGTTGCTGATCTCTGACACAATAGGTTGTCCTAGTTTTGGCTAGGACACAGTTAATTTTCCTTCTGGTGGCTGGTGTAGTGCTGTGTTTTGGATTTGGGATGAAAATAATGTTGATAACATACTAATATTTCAAGTTTTTGCTAGGCAGTCTGGGACTTTTCAGCTTCTGAGGCTGGCCTGGGCTGCCAGGTGCAGGGCAAGCTGGGAGGGGACAAAGCCAGGGCAGCTGACTCAAACTGGCCAAAGGGATATTCCATGCCATATGATGGCACGTTCAGCATAGAAGCTGGGGGAGTTGGCTGGGGGCAGAGATCGCTGTTCGGGGATGGGCTGAGTATTGTTAATCGGGTGGTGAGCAATTGCATGGTGTATCACTTGTTTTGTATATATTATTATTACTATTATTATTATTATCTCTTCTTTGCTTTCCTATTAAACTGTCTTTATCTCAACTCACAAGTTTTTTTTACTTTTTTTTCCCATTCTCCTCCTCATGCCACAGAGGGGGGAGGTGAGTGACGTACAGGTTATAGGCATAACTTTTAGATTCAATTTTACAATATTAAGTTACCTGATTTTAAAAACATTAGGCTAATTAACAAGGATTTGCACTTAAGAATTCAGGAGGCAAAAGTAACTGAAAATAAGTTAAACAATGCCATAACAATTACTGACTCTTAGTATTAGCCACTTAACCAATGTTAAAATCACACAGAGCAAAACAGGCTTTGTAAACATAGGTTCAAGCTGAATGCCTCCATTACTGAATGTAGTTATATCACAGACAAAAAGAATAAGCAGAGTAAATCTCAGAAGAGTTACTTCAGAAAGGTTTAATTTCACCGCTCTTAAAATCTTCCCTAGTCTTGGTAATTGTAGCCTCAGCTGTGAGGATGTGCAGAATGAACAGACACAAAAGGAGTGCAGAAGGTTAAAACCAACCAAACAAGACAAAACCCACAGGACCCAAACCCACCACAGAGCAAACCACACAAGCTGGAAAATCAAATACTTGTGTTACACATCTATTTTGCTTTCCCAACTCCTACTTCCATTGCTACCCGATGTCTTCTTTCCACTGCTTCGTGCCCACTGCCTCTGAAAGCCAGCCAAGCTCTCGGCGCTCTGCATGGGCTGCAGGCCCAAGGCAACAGCAACACCTCGGGGGGCTGGGGAGGACCACCGAACTGCCAACAGCTTGGGGGCCCTCGCAGGGCTGCTGGGGCTGTGAGGCTCTCCTGTCAGAGCCAGATGTAGGACTGAAGCCCTACCCTTACAAGCTTTGCCTCTTAATCCCTCTCTGAACATTTCCACTGCGTAGCTTCCACAACGCATTTGGCATAATTTTTCGCTGCAGAGTAAACTAACATCTGAATTTGGTGCATGATACAATTCATCCTTAGTTTTAGTGTCCAAGTTTACCAGAAGCAAAAGAAATCCCCTGAGCACCCTTTCTACAGAAAGCATTGTGTGGTTTGATGGGAACACACTACACCACTGCACCCCTCCCCGAGCGGTCAGAAGATGACATTTTGTTTACCATCATAACACGAGGCAAGAATTACACTTACAAAAACAGGACAGAAAAGTGTCTTTTACAGTTGATTTTTAACACTGCCATGGAACTACATAAACCAAACAATACACTTCCCAAGTTTTTACATTCTACGTCAAGAAATGTAACTATATAAGTTATAACCAGTTAAAAATGGTAACTGTATCTCTAAAAACATAAATCGGTTTCAGTGGTTGTCAGTGGCTGTGCTCAGGATCAGAGGGTCCCTCATTAGTGTGTTTAACAACGCATGACTTTGCCTGACTGCCTCGCGACTCCGAGGGACGACAGAGGCAGCGAAGCCCTTATCCGCGGTGCCCTTCCAGACAACCCGGGCGCGTGCTCTTCGCTGTCAGCCCCCGGCACATGCGCGAGCACGTGTTCCCTTCTGTGGCCTGGAATTTCAAATAACCTATTTTAAAATGCCCTGCACCACCAAAACTATGGTAATTCTCCTATGCATGCCTAAATACAGGCAACAAAGCAAAGCTGTGTAATTGATTACTAACTTAACCTTGATTTCAGAGGGTTTAAAACTGAGTCTGTACTCCCAAGACGCTACCACGTACGTTCTCTCATTTTTGTCTTTCATGCATAAATGCTTGTGATACATGCAGACATATTCCTAAACATGCACAGGCCATATTTCAACCAGGTTCTTTTAGTTTGTTTTATTAGACATCGGTAGATGTTCTTTTACACCCACACTTCTTTAGGAAGCCTAACAGATATTCAAGACCCCATTTGTGGGAACAGTACATACTAAGCTATTAAATGACCTGATCTGAAATGACAAAGATTTGAAAATACTCAGATTTGAAAATCTGATCACAGCACCATTTATGCAATTAAAAAAAAAATCTGCCCTCTGCTCCAAGGCAGAAAAAAGTACGAGCGAATTTGTGAAAGTAGTATTTTTCCCTTGTTATATGAGAATACGCAGTTTAAGTTCCTTTTATGTACAACAGCTCTATCAAAACAGTAATCATCCATTCATTTCTGGAACTATCTTTGTTCCCACATCCACTATAAACAAGTCATGCAATAAGAACAAAATTTTCTCCATGACTTACCTTAACTCTTTTGCAGAATGCTGCGTTAGAGAAACAGAAGCAAGAAAAAATGTTGATCACCTTGCCATTAAAACACATAGTGCAGTTCTAAAAAGTTCTGCCCATGCAGTATTACTGGCTGTGCTTTTCTACAACACTTGCCTCCTGCTGAAATGTTGCAAGTGTACTCTACAACACCATTCAGTTATCACTCTGTTTGGAGGCTGGGACAGGTAATAAACAGCAACTACTTAGATATTCACCTCAGACCTTTATCCCTAACTGCTTGGAGAAACGTAAATTTGTCAATTCCCAATATCTGGACACTTGCATATAATGACACAATACAGATGGCATTCCGTAAATAATACTTAGTTTGGGGGTTTTTTTAAGATAAAAATCCATTTCACATAATTGCGAGCAAAGCTTCAGTGACAGATTTTTGACATTAAAACTTCATTACATTAGTTGATAAATACAGCCTGTGGAGCACAGCCAACCCTTCTCTTCATCCACAAAATAGATCAGAATCCTCTTCATTCTGCCACAGTGGCATTGGTGCTGATGCATTAGTGGTATGAGCAGATGACACTATGGGACGCAGCAAGATGTGAATTTGCAGCAAGCCAACAGCTTAATGGTACTGACAAGGTGTAGAAAACCGCTACAAACTGGTTTTGTCTCGACATCGCTATTGCCATCTCTTGCTGGCCTCTGGAAGGAAGCCGCCACAACGACCTGCAGGAAAGTGCTTGTGCACAGAGTAGCCCGTGGACGGGCAAAAACGGACTTGTCTAAGCAGACAGCACGCATGGCAGGAACTGCATGTATGCGGACATGCTCTGCACATGCGCAAATGCCCCTATAAAAGGGCAGCACATGCTCCTCGCCGCCCTCTTGCCCTCTTGCTCTCCTCGCCGCCCTCTTGCTCTCCTCCTCACCGCCTGGCTGCTGGGCTCTCGCCTGGCTGCTGGGCCCTGCTCTCGCCGGGGCTCCACGCCTGCACAGAGACTGAGCCGACTGGACATCGTCGAATCCGTGGTGGTGGTAACAGATCCTCTCCCCACCCCCCGCACTTCTTTTCCGCGCCCGCTGGGGTTTTTCCGACTTTACCCTTTTTTTTTTCCTGTCTCGTCTTCTCCGCCCTCCCCCCAGCTGCCGTCCCCGCCAGACCTCCGATTCCCGGTTCACCGAAAATAAAGTTTACAAGGTTGCACGGCATATGACTGCGTTTGCATCTTAATCTCGTCTCCTGGGATCGCATCGAAACCTCCCCGATATCGGATCGGGACACAAGGCGCAAACTTTTACTTCAAAAGTAATCCGAGGATTCATATGGAACGATTTTACTGAGTGTATGCCATTTTCATATCACCCTTTTTGGAAAAAAAGATTGTGAATATTCTCAGATTTTTGTCAACTTCTTACATGCAATGCTGAAATGGGTATGCAATGTTGATGACTAAGATATTTTGAAGGAATCACTGCTGTGGGAATTCAGTTGCTCACTCCTGCAAGTCCTCATCTCTCTGGGAGGCTCAAGAACATACAAGCACATGTCTCAAGTGATGGTGTGTTCAATTGAGATTAATAGCAAACACTTGAATTTCTCTTACTTTCTTTAAAACAGTCTTATCTCAAGCTTTCACAGGCTGAACAGCCAACGGAGTGGTCCATATTTTCCTGTGATGGGCATCAGACCTCCAGATCTAGTCAGCCATAACTGTGGGTACCAATTTGATCTCAAGTGGCAGCTCTACAATATTATAATGCAGTTTTAGAGGTATACCCTTGAGGAGGCTGTTCTGGAGCCTGATACCTCTGAGAACTTGTAACATCAGACATGCAATAGCCTTTCTGATGATATAACTTTAGCCACATAGCTAAGTTCTCTTTTTCTGTAAGCCTGTCCATATATATCATGTCTTATTTAGATAATTTACAAAATGGTCTCTTTCACGTCACAGCGAAACAAAATTCTTCATAGTTTTAAAGGCTTAAAATATTTTTTCCTGATTGTTTTTTAAAGGTTGTATCTGGTCTAAATTAAAAGAAAGTTATGACTAAGCATTTGGAAATTCATTGAAGACAAGATGGTCTTGGGGGAAGATGTGGAAGGAAGTCATCAAAAGAAAAAATCAAGTTTTTGATCTCCCAACTGATTCAGTCAGTTGCAGATGCCTTTAAGGACAGGCGGTGAAAAGAACTATCAGCTAGGTAGCCACAACAGACATCTATCAGCTTAGCTGCTTCCCATTCAGCTGGAAGAAAGATCAGCTAGAAACTGTTTGAGAAGAACAAAGAAAAACTTCTCGTATCAGAACATAATATGGCCTCACTGCCAAGTGATCAACCTTACAGAAAAGTAGAGATGAAATCCTGATTTATGTGTCAAGACTGTCTTTTAAAAGCAATCTGGATGCCAAGTTCAAAGCCAAATTCACCAGCTGACCGTGACCTTTATCCTGAGACACACACCCTGACCACCAGCTACACCCAGCACAGCTCAGAGGCGAGAGGAACCCTGACGATTCTCTCGCTTTGCAGCCACAAGGAACACAAGGAGATCACAGCACTACCGCCCAGTTACCCTGCATTCACCCAGCTGTGCAATGCCACAATGCCACAGTACTAATATTAAACACAAGATGGCTCAAAGTCCCTAGGGGTGCCCACACCACCCCTCCCCAGGGCAGCTAAGACCTGTAAGCAGGCCCAGTCTGGGCTATCTAGGTGGGCAATCTGCGCAGCGCACAGACCTGGGGTTCAGGTCTTTCGAAGATTTCACACCTGCTGAAGCACAAGTACAGCACGCTGGTAGGCGCATATTCAAGGGTGGCCAAAACAGATGCTATGCCAGAAAAAGACAGCATCAGTGCTCTATACAAGAACCTAAAAGGGATTATCAGCCTTTCCAGGAACACTGACATCTTATTATTTTAACCCACCAAGTGCCTACCAGCTTCACTCCCAACAGAAAAATAAAAAGAAAGAAAAAAAAATTCAAAGTCAAAAAGTTTAGTTCATGTCCCACACAAAGTTCCAAAGCTGCATGGAGATCAGGGACCAGAAACACACTGCTTGTACAGCTGCCCAAGGCGCTGCGTGGCTTAAAAATGGCAGCTGCTTGAGCCAAGCAGAGACAGGATCATACAATCACAGAATGGTTTGGGCTGGAAGGGACCTTTAAAGATCATCTAGTCCAATCCCCCTGCCATGGGCAGGGACATCTTCCATTAGATCAGGCTGCTCAAAGCCCCCTCAAACCTATTTCAGTGCCTTACCATCCTCCTCGTAAAAACATTTCTTCCTTGTATCTATATATAGACCATGCCTATGTCCCTGTCCTGGCAGCTGAGGTGCCCTGAGAAGGAATTTAGTGCGCTCTCATTCAGCGCTCTAGGAGCTTCTAGTTCATCTTGCTTGAAATACACCACAGCACAAAACAATTCTGGGAGCTCAGATGGGAAGTTGGATTAACCTCTCCAAATTTTCTTTGCTCTTTTATTAATATATTGCATAAGGACTTACGATGTGCTCCTGCAAAGATGCCATACAAAAAATGGAATCGCCCTTAAAGCTGTGGCAATTTAATTTTTAAGCTGTCCATGCAATTATCTTTCTATCTAATGCTGCCCTCTCATACACCAAATTCAGTATTTTCCAAAATTTCATCTCATAACGGCCTCTGTAGCCTTAATGTTTGAAATTTTATGTTTTGAACTTTACTCCACTGTTCCACTAGTGGAAATTCCATGGAAAAATATGACTTTAGTTAAAAACATTTTATGAATGAGAACACTCATAATATTGATAGTAACCTTTCTCAAAGTATGATTTTCTTCAGAGTACTGAATGAAATTCAGCATTGTGGCATTCCAGATTTATTGATGCTGTATGATTTTGGTATAAAGTGCACTAATTTTACTAGTAATGAGATATATTTCCCTCATTTCTAGGCCTCAAGCAGTTTATAAGAAGGCAAAAATAGCTTAGGCAAAAATATTCAGAATTCTGTATATTTAAATAAAGTTTTAGGCAGCTAACCTCTTAGATAACCAAGCTCAGTACAGACAGTAAAAATTTATCTGTTTATCAGGAGAAAAATATTAGCACAAGTGTCTAATTGTCAGTGCATGGCACTGAGTGCTACTTAGTAATTCTTGCATTTATTTCAATAACATATGGCTGACCTACGGGTAATCCTAGAAAGCTTTTCCAGTGCGAAGATTTTCAAGGGAGGGACAAATCCCCATAGCCCTTTGCAGTCTCTTTGAACAATTAAACAACCTCACACTAAGCCGAGCTGTTAACAAAGCCGACACTTTTCAACACAGTATTTTTGTGAACCAGAGAAGCACTATGCGACTAAGGCAGGAGTAACAAACACGATCAAAGATTCATTGAAGTTAGCAGATGTGACTCAATATCCACAAATCAGTTGGTGTCATTTTTGCACTGTCACTTTCTTAGGGTATAACTGTACTTTAACCACAGTTCCAATTCTTCCTGCCAAAAAAATGGTGTATTCTTATTATGCTCACAACTAGACGACAGCATTTAAGAATTGTTTTTAGAGAGATATATAGAGCACACCTAAATTACACCGTAGATACCTCAAGCAGCTCTGAACTTATTATTTCTAGATATTGTCAACACCTTTCTTGAGGATGACACGTGTGGTTAAATCATGAAAGAAACTGCACAAATCCCTTCCCCTCCCCAGGAGGTTGAAGCGCTGTCATCGCCACCAGTCTAGGCTTTCTTTTGAAGGGTGAAGGATGGAGGTGGAGGAGAGGATGATGTTACTGAAACGCTCCTGGAAGGTAAGTCTTATAATATCTTATTGCTTCGACTGTCTCTGACCTTGTGAGTTGGTGATCCAGCACAAAACAACAAAAAATGAACCGATGTCGTGCCACGGTCTGTTCAAGATGTGGGATAATGGTGGATATTACCTTTCATGCCAGACAACTGCAGGAGGGTGGCCTCCCTCTACCCTCTCCGGGGCTCCCAAGGGCTTTGCTGCCAACTGACACGCTCCCTTTTGGGAAAGGCAGCTCCCCGTGGGAAACAGCTCCCCGTGGGAAGTTGAGGTGTTTCCACATTAGGATCTTATTTGTTCAATTGGTAATAAAGCTCCTAGGGGAGACTGCGAGGAGACTTGGTTCCTGCACGTTTTGCACGCCCATGACGACCAGTTTTTTCCCCACGCCGAAGGTGATCCGGCAGAGATGGAGTAACTGAAGCGCAGATGGCGGCGAGATGAGGCTGTTGTGATGCGGGCTGGATGCAACCTGCGGCAGCGTGGGGAATGCAGCGTAGCCAGATCTGCAGAGTGATCGAGTTACCAGCAAAAGTACTGCCAAGCCAGTGTGGCACTGGCCATCAGGGAGGTATTTAATACATCTTTGCCTGGCAGAAAGGTGTAGTCTTGTCTTCCTAACACAACACACAGCAGATATGTGCTGATTTTTCTGAGGAAGCAGGTATTTGCTGCGTCATCTCAGTCTTAATCCCCTCTAAATGAGATTACAGTAATGTGATATACATGGAGCTATAGTTTATATTTATTTGTAAGATGCAAACAGCATAGAAAGTTGACGACTCTTAAAAAAGGAGAAAAGGATTCTGATATTGAACCAATGGAAATTTCTTGTGAAGCTGTGCTGGTCTAAAGTGACCTCCAGATTAAAAATTAAAATGTTGGTTTTGACATGCAGAACCTGTGTGTTCCAGGAGCACATAGCACCAGCTCCCTTTCCCATCATCACAGCATCATAGTTTTCATCAGAGAGTGTGCAAACACATGTTTCAAAGCACACTCTATTTTTAAGTCGACAGCTAAAACCCAGAACATTTTGGTGGTCTCTTTTTTTGCTATGCAACATTTTAACAAATTAAAAAGTCATTCTTTGCTGCCTTTAACACTTCCAAGACGTCACTTGGAAGGTGTAGTTCATGGCAACATTACCTGTTCTCCTACCCTTTCACAGAACTCCTTTATAAACAGCATTCTCTAGAATAAACATTCTGATAGAAACCACATTTTTAAAGCCTATCAATTCTAAGTGAATTCTACCAAAATCCTAAACTGTTGTCAGCATAAAAATCCCTTCATACTGAGTTAGAAGAAGAGAAATCAGAGAACCGCGAGGAGGCCCCTTCTGCACAGCCACGTACCATTCCAAAGAAGCCCGGTCTGTCCTCAGGCACGTGAAGCTCTGGGTACACATTCTCCAAGAACCATTTGAAGTCCTTACATTTCAGCTTCTCTCGAAGGAGTCTCCTTTCTGTCACATCTCCATATGGTTCCTGAAAGGAAAAAAAAAAGATAGAAAAGAAAAAAAAAAAGATTAAAAAAACCCCAACCAGAACAGATGCTCTCTTTTAAATTATCTGTATATGTTATTAGGAACCGTATGCTTAAGCAATGAGTAGGACTTTTAGCCAGGAAAAGATCCCCATGTTTGGGTGCTGGATGTGATTTCATTATCCTTACATTTATTAAATGTTGACAAGAGAGAACCGAAATGGTGTACGTAAAACTTTAAAATATTCTAGAAGACAGTTCATCTGAGAAAACTCCCCAAATCTGCAAGTAAGGAAGTCCTTGCATACAGATTGCTGGGAACTGAGAAGGCATACTGGAAAATAAAAATTCCTTTAGCTGGATAATTGAAAATCTCTAAAGCAGTGAATGAATCTTGAGAATTTTAAATCTTTCCACCATCCATTTCCAAATTACCTGTACAGACAGTTTTACACTTAACTGATGAAATTTGTAAAATCTGCTAATGTTTCCTTTGACCTTCATAGTTTCAGGGTGTGGGCAGTATGAAACCTTAAACCTCCACAGAAAACCTTTCATTGCAGACTTATCCCTGTCTATAGATTGGAGTGGAGTCCACCTCTTTTCAGGTCTGTCTTCAAAAAATATATCTTTATATTGACTAGGGACATGAGACAGTCAGGCATGAGCTACTGTTTGCAGCCCCCAGATTTTTACAGGTCACTTGACATACTCATTCATCAAACCACAAATATATTTGCATTTCTCAAAGCTGTGGAAATACCACTGAAAACACAAAGCAGATGTTAAATAGTGGCAGCGATGCCTGCTTGAATAAACAAACAGCATGACATATTAGCTCTGAGGTCTGAACATTAATCTTGAAGGGAAACTTTATGGAACCAAATTCTGCAGCCATCACATCAATCATTTTTCCATTATGCTACAGAACTGAATATATGGGTTAGATGAAGTAGAAGGGACTGAACTCAACCGCTGCAACAAGCAGTGCACAGAGTATTACGAAAACCAGAGTGCCTTGGCGGCAGCTTTGCTACACGCAAAAAACCCACTCGAGTCTCAGTTTACATCCACTGTGATACCATAAGCCAATATGCAAAAACTTCCAATGCTAACACACAAATAGCCCTTAAAGCTAAAGTTCTGTTATCACTGACATCAGCTCCCCAGAACTTCACAAGAAAAACTGTCAGCATTGATTGCTGTTTTCTCCTTGCCCGTGACAAGCAGAATCAGCCCGGCGCTGCCCATGAGCTCCCGTCTTCGGATACACAAAACCCATATTTTTCTCAAAGTCAGACTCTAGTAAGAAAACCTAAATGGCTTTTATGATATTAAGATAAAACAATTATTACAAATGCATGGACTATAACAAGCTAATTACCCAGTTTAATCCAGAGGAACGAACACAAGATAGAAGCTAACCAAATTCAGCTTCCCCAGTGTCCTCCTGCATATCTTTTAAAAGCGTAATGGTTTCAAGAGCATTTTTTCCTCCGGCATGTCTACTGGGGTAGGCCACTCAAGCGCGTGGGGATCTCCCTGTCTCCCTGCCTGGTCCCTGAGCCTGGGTTCGGCGTTGTCAGAGCCAACAGCCCACCACAGGGCAGCTCTCCCCATGCACAAAACCAGAACGCTGGCACTTGGAAAACCTTCCGCGCAAGGGTAAGTGCCTGCGGACATCAAGCACCTCCAGAAACACACAGCCGCAGAGAGTGATTTCCTCTAGGCCTGAGCTTTGGACTTTGTGCCAGAGGTTTATATAAGTCATTTCTAGACATTGTGAGGAAATTTCAGTGTTGTCTTCCAGCCTACGGGCCCCTCACGATAAATATATGCAGGCTACGAAATTGCACACCGCTGTACTGTTCTAACCTACTCAATTTTCACAGTATTTATCTCCTGAAAATTTTTGCAAACAAATGATCTTGTGTGTTCTTCCTCACAGAAAATAAAAATACTAACTTTAAAAAAAACAAACAGAACTGATACTTCCAGCATTTTATTAGAAACATTTTTATCTGAGTTCCTAGGACTGATTTTAATTAATCTTTGCAATACTGATTTTGTTTTGTTTTGTTTTGTTTTTAAATCAAGCATTGGACAGAAGTAAACCTAACAGAAAAAATCCATTTTGTCTTACATCAGTCCAAAGTTTTACAATTATCACAAGACAGGTAATTTTGCTAAAGATTATTACCAAGCTGTTCACTTAAAGATATACCATCCATTGAACCTTGTTGACCAGCATTCGTTAATTGTGTGTCTCTTCTGTAATTTTTTCTTGATAGAATCCTGTATCAGCTGTTTCACAGATGTGCACATTTTAGGCTAAACAGCTCCTCGTTACTCAGGTCAGCTGGCTTAACTTTATTCTTTCATTTATTCATTCGTTCATTTAATATTGTCACAAACGTGGCTACCTTCTAGTCTTAAAGAATTTCTAATTATTTACAAAGGAATTAAAAATTAACTATATACACACCTATTCTGTGTTTCGGAAAAAGTTTCAGAAGAAAAAGAAATAAACACAGAAATCACTTCACGTTAAATATTAGTTAAATCAATAGTTATTTTATTGAAAACAAGTTCTATTGAAATTCCAAGAACAATGGACTTGAACTCACCAGGCGAGCATGTGGGTTTCGGTGGTAATAAAGCTCTTTATATTCATCCATCCACACTTCAGCTGCACGCACACTGTTTGCCAAAGCTTTGGACCGTGAGTATGGAGCTTGTTTGGGGAAAACGTGACCTACATGTGAGCACGGGTGGATCTCGAGACTTCCTCCACACTGCCATATCTGAAGAAAGAATTGACATCGTGCATCATTAATTTGACTCTTTGCAAGCACAAGGATACAGTAACAATAAGCCTTTGTAAGGATAATACCTTCTCAAGAGTATCAGAGCATACTCTAAGCAACACATACAATAATTTTGTGTCTCATTTGATGAATAAGATGGATTAAAATGACATCCTTATGATCTCAGAGCAAATCATTGGGAGTAACAAGGAGGTAACCCCATCTCTGGTTTTATCTGGTGTGCAGTTATACCTTTCTTAGCTTCACTTTCTCTGAAGGCATGATAAGAAATGGCCCACATTATTTCTGCAGGTCTATTCAAATCAAGTTATACCAAAATTATTTAAAAAAAAAAAAAGGAGAAAAGAAAAAAGAGGCATGTTTCTTGACCAAATTAACCACGCAAAAAGCCATTTCAGAAAGAAACCGATGACCAGCAACTGATCTCTTACCAGAAATCTTTGCCCATATTCTACTGGAAAGCTGACCTGACAAAACAGTTAAGCTTGTCATATCGCTGGAGAATGGTAAGTCGTGTTCCCACTTCTACATTCACCATTTCAGAAGAGAGACATGGGTACCTGGTCACAAAAACATAACTAACCTTTTTCATTGGAAAGCTGAGAAAGGAACCCCAGACCCCACACATGAAGAGAAAAAGCAAAGTAAATCTATAAGTAACTTGTGATCCAACCAACATTAGTGTAAGTTCCACTATCTAAAGCAAATATTCTTACTCGCCGTACTTGAACCTGAACGTGGAATTGGCAGAACTCACTCCACCCTTGTCCTCATCATCCTGCCTCTGGCTCCCCAAGTCAGGAAACGTACGGCCCCGGAGATCAGTCCATAAATGACCACCACGCAGATACCCTAGCCTCAGCACTCTGCAAAGGTTTCTAAATATACTCTTCCCCTTTGAAAACCACAGACTTTTGGCAGTTCATCCACACAGCCACTTCCCCATCGTCCGTTTCAACCTCAAGCTTGACACAATGAAAGGAAAGCATGGTTAAGTACTTCCTCGTTAATATTGTGCGTGACCACAGCGTGGCAGACACCCTGCTTCTGAAGGGTGCCTGAAACAAGGTTTCGGAAATTTAGTCAGATGGGAGTAGGACACGTTGCTGCACTTGAACAAACTGGAGCCTACCACCAATGGCTCTGACAGGCTTTCTGGAGAAGTTTTTTTGAGAAGTGGCACCCCAGTGAGTTAATTCTCCTCCTGTATTCAACCATGCATAGGTGGCAGCTCCTCTTCCCTTTGTAAAGGGAGCACAAGGGAAATAAGCTGAGATATGTTTAAGGGGTAGAGAGGTTTACTCCCTGACAAACTTCTTGTACAGCATATACATTTTAATTACATGTTATTCAAATCAACACAGCAGGAGTGAAAGCTATGAGGTAATAATTAATAACAATAACACCTCTGTGCCTGGGAAGATCATGGAACAGATCCTCCTAGAAGATATGCTAAGGCACATGGAGGCCAGGGAGGTGATTCGAGACAGCCAGCATGGCTTCACCAAGGGCAAGTCCTGCCTCACCAACCTAGTGGCTTTCTATGATGGTGTAACAACAAGGGTGGACAAGGGAAAACCTATGGATGTCATCTGTCTGGATTTTTGTAAAGCCTTTGACACGGTCCCCCACAACATCCTTCTCTCTAAATTGGAGAGCCATGGATTTGATGGGTGGACCCTTTGGTGGATAAGGAATTGGTTGGATGGTCGCAGCCAAAGGGTAGTGGTCAATGGCTCAATGTCCAGATGGAGGCCAGTGACGAGTGGAGTCCCTCAGGGGTCCATACTGGGACCGGTGCTGTTCAATATATTCATCAATGACATGGACAGCGACATCGAGTGTACCCTCAGCAAGTTTGCAGATGACACCAAGCTGAGTGATATGGTTGAGACACCAGAAGGACGGGATGCCATCCAGAGGGACCTGGACAAGCTGGAGAGGTGGACCTGTGTGAACCCAGAGGGCCAACCGTGTCCTGGGCTGCATCAGGAGAAGCGTGGCCAGCAGGTCGAGAGAGGTGATTCTGCCCCTCTACTCTGCTCTGGTGAGACCTCACTTGGAGTACTGCGTTCAGCTCTGGAGCCCTCAGCACAAGAAGGACATGGAACTGTTGGAGCGGGTCCAAAGGAGGGCTACAAATATGATCCGAGGGCTGGAGCACCTCTCCTATGAGGACAGGCTGAGAGAGTTGGGCTTGTTCAGCCTGGCGAAGAGAAGGCTGCGGGGAGACCTGCTTGCAGCCTTTCAGTACTTAAAGGGAGCCTATAGGAAAGACAGGGACAATCTTTTTAGTAGAGATAGCAGTGACAGGACGAGGGGTAATGGTTTTAAACTAAAACAGGGTAGGTTTAGGCTGGATATAAGGAAGAAATTCTTTACAATGAGGGTGGTGAAACACTGGAACGGGTTGCCCAGAGAGGTAGTGGAGGCCCCATCCCTGGAAACATTCAAGACCAGGTTGGACAGGGCTCTGAGCAACCTGATCTAGTTAGTGGTGTCCCTGCTCGCTGCAGGGGGGTTGGACTAGATGACCTCTAGGGGTCCCTTCCAACCCAAAACTTTCTATGATTCTATCAATGACAACAGATCAGCAATGGGACCTTTCCCATCTCTCTCCCTGGGACTTTTAGGGATCTAGGAAGTCACTACAGATGAAGGCTTTCAGCACACACAAAATGGACGTTGTCTTCAGATTGCTATTTTTTTTTTTGTTACTTATGATTTCTGCCATATTTCTTAATTTAGAAATCAATGAACGTTGTCTCTCTTGATTTGGTTTTGGATAATGACGTCAGACTTTCAGACGTGACACAATACTGTGCTTGATAACAAAATCTTTAGTACTCCAATACATGTTTACTTTTAAAACAAACGGTTTCCTTAAAGGTATAGGTAATTCATAATTCAACTATAGGGAGCACTGGATAATCTTTACTTCCAGGATTTAAAATTTTAATTTCTTGCTTTTCATGAGAGGTTTCTTTCTTCTTTTTTTGTTGCTTTTTGGGGAAGCAGTATATTTGTCATGGGCACAGAAAGATGATTAAAGGAATTACACAAGAAATCTAGAATTCTGTACTGATCTTTTAAAAAATTTGCATATTTTCATATGTAAGTTACACTACAGCCATTTCGAAAGCTGCTAAGAAACCAGTGAAAGCACTTTAAGCTCTCCCTTTTTGAGATTTGTTTCAAAACAACAGCTTTCTTACATTATTATTTCTATAGCCAAGATTATTTTTTTGAACTTGAAATTTATCACACCAGATTTGTCAGTAAATATTAAGCGCCATTAAATTTATTAAAGTTTAACAATTTCCACATTTTTTATATTCCATATAAGCATTTTTTAATTGATAATTACTGTTTTGATCAGTCTGGTTTTAAACAAGATATAAAGACTACTGAAGTAAAAACATACAGATAAGAAGCAAGCACATTCTTCTACTCTTCCATAATAAAGTCTGATTTAAATGTAGTAAAACAGACTGGCCATATCTCTGTCAAATTGCTGCCAAAAAGAGAAATCCACCACAGATGATTTTTCAATAACTAAAATTCTGAATTTCACTATGAAAATAACTGTGGGTTGCTAAGCAATGCTCATTAAACTATGCTTCTTTCATTAAAACATTTCAAAACTTCTCTTGTCTTCCAATTACAAACAAAAATTAAATATATTTCAGCTAAACAATTCCTCAAAAGGTTTACATATTTTTATTTTAATGAAAAACATTTCAACTTCTATATAGAATCAGGTACACATTAACAGCCATAGAATAAAGCAATGATTTCAGTGGAGAAACCAAAGTTGATTACTAAATGCTAAATAAGTGACTCTGGAGAAGATTCTCCCCTAAAACTATTATTTCAAACTTCTGTAACGGAGGAGTACATCAGATTTCATGTATCTTTTGCATGCTCACGTGCATGAAAATGTGTTTCCTTACTAGGTCTGGCTGCCTTGCAGCTCTCATTACAAAAGTGTATTTTTTTCCTTCAGCACAAAGAGCAAACAAGGTGACACTCCTTTTTACTTTCACTTTCATCTTGATACACATAGACTATCGATATTTTTTCTTCTCCTTTCAGAGACAGGTGGTGGCATTATGAAAAGCCACAGTAAATGTTCAGACCTCGCCTTGGGATCCCCGTCGCTACCAGGGTCTCTGGACAACTGACCCAATCCTGGGTCAACGAACGCTGAAGAAGAAAAGCTCTATAAGTTCTACCACCTCCATTCTAACATTTTAGGACTCTCTGGAAAAAATAAAATAACAAAAAAAAAGGACGCTACCTCCTGAACAAAGACAAACTGTGGAAAATACTCTGTTGCTGCCCCTCTCTCTGCTGCAGTTTTGCCTGCTGGCTTGTGGCTGAGCCCCCCTGGTGCTGGTGCACAACCTGCTGGGAGCCGGGAGGGCAGAGGGGCATCCTCAGCTGCACGAGAGAGCCCATCCACCCCAGCTGCTCCTGCCGCAAGTCAGAGTTCCAGATCCCAACAGAAAGAAACAATACAAAAAGATCAGAAAAGAGAAGACTCCAATCGATCGGAGACATATCATCCAGGCTCACAGGCAACGAAATTCCCAACAGAAGAAAGGACTTTTCAGTAAATAACTTTGTCTCTTTGCACATGCATGGTTTTCCCTCACGCCATGATGGTGGGCTGAAGGACAGACTGCAGGGGTATCAAGCGGCAGTCCCCAGAAACAAACTGACGTTGCAGTGCCACTAGCAGGACCAAGAGCAGAGAGGGGAAAAAAGCTGCAACCAGGTTCCCTTCGCTCCATGTACAGGAGGGGGAAGATGAAAGGGCATGTTCTGCATCCCTCAGAAAGAGGAGTTTCAATGCCCATTACACCCACGAAGTGAAATTTCATCCACCCAAACAGCATTACGCAATGCGAAATCAAGGCACATTGACGCGATCCTGCATTCATCACACAGCCTCCAACTCTCTTAGTCATCACACTGTTAGCCGAAGCTTTGTCCTTGTTGCACCTCTCAAAACCACAGAGATTTTTTCTGTTTAGAATAACTGAAGTACGAGAAAGAGGAGGCTTGAGGACAAGTCCTTTCAGGTCATCAGGAGAGGGTGGTGTTTTCAGAGATGAGAAGAACAATGAATTAATTTACAGCATTTTTCAGTATCCCTGCTCCTAATTTTCAGGTCTAGAAACCACAGAGACAACAGAATTAACACTGATTTATCACTCCTGACCTTCTTCAGCACCACGGGCAGCCAGAAGAACAAAGTTAAGCAACATCAGAGAGCTCTGCTCTCTTCCATGAAAAGCCTCACTGCAGAAGGCACCAGAGTACAGGGGCTCGAAATCAAACACAGGAAAATGTGTTGTGCACAATTTGGATCCAAACACCCAGATCCTGCTGGCACTAGTAAAATTAACACGCCTGGGCACATTCGCTGGCCGTTGCACAGCCTGTCCTGCAAAACCGTTGGTGGCACCCCAGAAGACAGCCCTTCACCTCACACCGCAGCTCTCACTCTGCCTCCTCGCTTGAGGTCCTCTTGCACCCGCCACAGCCATGCCCCCCCCCTCTGCCTCCGCTTTGGGGGTCCTCTTCCCCCCGCCACAGCCATGTCCCTGCTCTCAGCCCGGTGCATGGCCGGTGCGTGGCTGCTGAAGGACCACCCGGAGTCCCCGGGACAGTGCAAAAAAATCACCAAAGCACCAAATCTGTGGCAGCCAGGGTCACAGAAGACTGCAGACATTTCAAACAACGTGAAGTAGATCCTGTAGTGTCCAGTTCTGTCAACTATGGCTGTTTGAAAGCTCACTGCTTTGGGAGAGGTACAAATTTCTGCTGAGAGGCAGAGTATATAGTACTACTTTCAAAAGCAGCATCCTCTCTGCCTCACGGGTGCTCCATCTGGTTGCACATGCACTGGCAAACATAAACAAGGGCCTGCAAGAGCCAGACTTGCTCAGGAGATGCACATATCCAACATGCTTCCTACTGTTACGCTACACGTTTGTGGCAGATAGTGTCACGCTCTCTGACGTAGCTTGCCACTACGCTTACAGTCTCCTGCCTCTGCTTATTTGTCTGCTGCAACAGTGTCATAGCTGAGAAAGCAAGCCCCAGGTCAGCAAGCATCTATACCCAAAAATGCCCGACTCCGTTATTTTCATCACCTCTTCTAACCCCTCAGTAAGCAAGAAAAAACATTTTCCCTTCCCAGAGTGAGCTGGGAATGGCATCCACCACCAGGCTGCCTTCCAGCTTAACCTACCTTGGGTTGTAACCGATGATGAGCATGATGATTTTTTGGGGGCCCCAAGTATGAACTCAATCTATTGCTACTCGTGGCTCCCTGAGTAGCCTCTCAAAAGAAGGCATAACAATAATTTCATCAAGAGCTATTTCGTAGCTTCTGCTCCCACGATGATGCAATTATCCCACAGAAAAGAAATCCCTTCCAGTGGGAAGAGGGGATCATGGCAACATATACATCAACATGGTCTACCCCAGAACTGGAGCTAGCTGGGGACTCCTGCTTCAGAAGCTCACAGACCTGATGGAGGTGGGTAAGATGCTTTGAGCTTCAGGCGGAGACCTGCTGAATTTACTGACCAAGACAAATAGGCTGTGTAGTTGGACTTACATGCCAGAGAAACTTTTCCCTGTGTGAGAAAAGAGGTGATCATGAATTCAGATCAAACAGTGATCCCTGCTGAGAAATCCCTCGCCAGACAGAAACCATGTCAACTGCAGGTCTTATTATCCTCCCTTATCATTTTCTTTGCTCTTTCTGTCCTCTTTGCTAGAATTTCTGCACCACAGGCAGCAGGAGACAGGAACCACAGCCATGAAGACTCCATGCTTCTCTGGTTAACAGACAGACATCTCACGTGAGACCTGGTGATGCTTGCTTTCTCAAGAGAGTGGTTTTGTACCATTAAAATGCTATTTAGAATCATAGGATGGTTTGGATTGGAAGTGGCCTTTAAAGATCATCTAGGCCACCACCCCCTGCCATGGGCAGGAACACCTTTCACTAGATCAGGTTGCTCTAAGTCCCATCCAACCCGACCATTTCAAAATGGCTACTCTGAAGGAAAATATAATTATACTGAAGCATCAGAACAAGGAAAAGAGATTCATGTAAACATCTCCCAAAATATTCTCTTACAGGTATCTTATTAACTAAAAGGGCATGAAGAAAGAAATAAGAAACTTGGTTTTGTTATCAGGAAATAAAAGCATCAAGTTTCAATTGAGCCACTTACCCTAAATGAGAATTCAAGGTTTTCTCCTCCCCAGACTTCCATTCCTGTGTCATATGAACCAAGATAATCAAAATACTTCTTGCTCACAGAAAACAGGCCACCTGCCATGGTTGGAGACCTACAAAAAAGAATAGTAGCTCTGAATTGAATAAGAAGTGAAAAATACAAATTAACAAACCACAGATCAAAATACAGTATCTTTTTATTTTCCATTTTCTCAGTCTTTTCTGGATACAAAGTAACAGCCAACCATTGATCGGTTAAGTAGTATATTGTCAAGCCATTTAAATTTAAATTTGTAGTAAAAAAAAGTATCAGAAACGAGCTCCAGAATGTATTAAAATAAAAATAACAATGAAATCAGAGAAGATAAACATTGTGTTAATACAAATTTCTGCAATTACAGTGTCTCTGTAAGTGGTCATAGGTGACTAGCCTCTTACCTTCACATAGTAGAACATAAGCTTTTTTGTGGCAGAATTCTTTTAGTCAGGTCTGAAATTCTAAGTGCAGTATCCTTATATATTTTACTCAAATAGCAAGTAAACACGTTTGTGCTTTGGTAATTAATAACAACATTTCTGAACCCATTAATATCAAGTGCATTAATATCTCACACATCAACTGAGCAGAATTAAGTAAAGCGAGCCCCCCAAAAGACTTTTTCTTTCTAAGATCTGCCCATCTGTACTTTTTTTAGTTGTTTGCTACATTTGGAATTAAAATCAGGGGCCAAGATCAGATCCTCACTGAAGACTACAAGGTCCAGAGAGACAGCACACTCAGGGGACAGCACACTTTCAGTACGGTACTGTGTGCACGTATATATAAAAATTAATTTGCTCATTATTGTTCATTATTGTTCCTAACTGTTTACAGTCTTAGAAAATGACCCTCTTTACAGTGCCAAGCATATAATGTCAGTTGGAACTAAATTCAGCTGACACTTTATGAATTTTACTAAATTGCTGTTGAGATAAATCTTAACAAATGGTAGGTGCAGTAATCAGGTACTCTTAATCTGTCGAAACTAATTTTACCAGCCATGTTTTTGAAGCAACACTGTCTTACACTGTCATATGTTGCTTCAAAGAATGGAAAGAGGTGAGGTGAAACAGAAGGAAAAAAAAAACAAAAACAAAACCCAAACTCCATAATGAGCCAATCTCTTCTGTCTCACTCCAGAGGTCTCTTTCCAAACACAGCTGTCGGTGACATGACTCTCAGCACTGCTGCCTTCTCCAGACACTGGCCAAACTCACAGTCCTTGGGCTACTGTGAAGCTTTATCCCTCACTGTTATCCCCTTGGCATGCCAAAGATATGTCGTGGAGAAGAAAAGCATCATATTTAAGCTAAAGGCTTCAAACACATTTACTCTATTTTGAAACTTTTTTCCAGGAGGATGACTGAATTACTACCTCCCTTTTCCTTTGTTGTTTTTTTTTTTTAAAAAAAAAGTTCTCTTCTCTCAGTTGAGGATAAGTTCATTAATATTCATGAAGTATTGGGTATTATTACCATGATAAGCAACCTAGAAAAGACTGAGAAAATTCTGAGAGAATTCTGTATTTATTGTAGTCTGCAAGATAACAGATTAGACATAAAACCAAAGACTAACAAAATCATGATGTTAAAAATGCCAAACAACTGCTTCATTTCTTACAATACACTACTGAAACACAGCAACTGTAGCAGACCCTCAGCTATCAGGACTTTGTGTACAGTATCCATTTTCCAGATGCGTTGTTCGTACTCTTACTTTATCTCTCCTAAAAACACAGTATGGAGTGACAGATAATACCGACTGATGGCAACTTGTCTTAAAATAAAACTAAAACCCACAAGGAAGACATCTGCATGAGCTCCTGTGAATTAGCCCTTCATAGAAACTGTGGTGGGTAGAGCTGTACCATTTCAGCCCAGTGAAGAACTGGCAAACTGGTTCACCTTTGAAAACAGAGCAAGGAACCACCACCATCACTACGGCACAGATGAAGTCTTCAAAATTACTTCTGCCTTCTTATGGGTTGACGATTTTTTTTTTTCCCCTTTCTCATCATTGACCATGATACATTTTTTACAACGTGGATCTCTCTGCTTTGCACAGAGGACATCCTTTAGTATTAGTTAATCAGCTACAACCTTTCCATGTGCTGGTAAGAATCTGTGGGAGTTTGCCTGCCCGAGTCCAGAGACTGCTTGTGCAGTAAGGATTCCATATGGAAGATCACGCAGGTGTTTCAGGTTTTAGTGCAGTATTTTTTCAGAAGCATAGTGTGCAGGAACTATTTTGGGAAAAAAGGAGAACTAAAGATACATAATTTTTAGTAACATATTCATTTCTCAAATATTTTTCAGCACCTTGCATTCCCAAGTTAAGTCAAAAGTACTTGTAACTTCATAGTTTCATAAGATGCATAAAAATTAACCTTATCACATCAGTCTTGGACTTCCTCCGTTTTTGTTCTCTTTCAGGGGTACTATGCCAAGTGAACACCAGTCTCCAGTCAAACCCGCCGATCTGTGGCTCACCAGCATTTCCCAAGTACTCAAACGTATTCCAGTCAATAACATCAATGACAGGGCAGACGACAGCCGATTCTTCCTCCGCAATCCTAACACGATTTTAAAAGAAAAGAGTGATTTCCATTAGAAACACCTCTCAAAAACTAGAACTCTCAAGAACAGAGAATGCTTACAACTACCAAATGCCAAGTTTTGCTCCTTTTCAACTCATGCTGCAATGCAAGGGAAGGACAGCTACAAGAATAACCACCAATTTCTTGCCGAGGATGCATCAGGATGGAGTCAGCTGCAGGCACCCGGCAAACATCAGTCTTCCTGGACAGTGGAAGTGAGGTCTGCCAGATGGCTTGAGATAACACATTCAGCATCTGGCTTGGCTGCCATATCCAGCACAGCATTCTCAACAAAAACATCTATTTTGTTTTGTACGGGTAGCTGCATTCAAGATATTTAGAAAGCAGCATGACTATCATTCTGCAAGGATGAATAAGGTAGCTAGGCTCTTGGCTCATGGTTGTTCTTGTAACTGTGATCATCTGCAAAAAGTTATACTGAGCACTACAACAGTAACTCAAAAAGAAGCCATGAGCGTAAACAAAAAAACCCATCAAAAAACAAACATGCAACACAGGAATTAGATCTCCAACAGTGAAACATACACGAAGGAGGCCTTCAGAAAACCTGACAACACAGGAGACAAAAAGGAGAAGCAAGATAGTACTGTGGAATGACACACCTGTCAGCAAGGCCGATGTAAAGATAGTTAAGATCTTTATCATACCAAGAATACATCAGAGCTGACAACATTGCTTGCAGGTCTACTCCTGCAAGGAGACAAACTCCTTCCTCCCATTTCTTAGTACCATGCAGGGTTTTCTGCATTCCCTTCCAAAACCATTTGCCCTTACAAAAGGCCATGGGATCCTTTGCCTTCACTTCAGCTTCTGGAAAGGCCTCTCAGTACCAGGAGAGATCAATTTCAAGCACACAAGCTCCAGGTAAGGCTTTTCTCCTAAACCACTCTTTAGTAAGCTTCTCTACACAAGGCTTAGACACCTCTTGCTTATACAAATATTGCTATCTCCTGTCTCACTTGCATAAAGCTTATGTACATAGCAATGGGAATGATACATGCACAGAGGAAAAAATTTTCCAGCAAAATGTAAAAACGCTTAGTTGTCCCTGTAAAGGAAAAGAAGTAAAAATTAGGTATCTGGCACAAGATTTCAGTTAAGAAAGACACCACATAAGTGAAAAGCCGTCACCTTTTCTGTAAGTTAAGAATTAACTCGATGGTACAATGCACAGGCAGCTTACAAATACAACTATGTTTGCCCTGCAACCTGCTAACACTGTTGTATTGCTTGCATACACTTGAGTTGAGATATGCCGCGCAAACATCCCCTTAGAGATGTACGTCTGCATCTGCAGCAGGAAGCGCAAAAATTCCAAGGCACATTCAGGGCTAACTTTTTACAGAAGGTGATTCGTTACCCTTAAAAATATCCGAATCCTTCCTAAAGATTGCCATCTAGTGGTTTGCTAAAGAAGTGAAGAAGTTACAGAATCTTCTTTACAGTTATGTACTGTTTCTTCAGAAGACAGTCGTTAGAACCATGCTTATTTTTCAATTCTCACCCCTTTTCCTTTTTTGTACTACCTATACTGTTCATGGTTACCCCACAGTTATCTGGAATATACTCGGTATGAAATTTAGAAACAAGTTCAATATGACAATTTTAAGAAAAAAAAAATTAAAATATTATTCCAGATACAATTTCAAATGGACATGGGGAGTTTGAGAACACAAGTTCCACTAGGAATAAGGAAGACTCGCACGCCTCATGATAGTGTGTGCTTCTGGAAATCTTTCTCCAGCTGGAGAGAGATGGATTAGCTCAGGACTGGGAAGACGGCGTTTATTGACTTCTCTTCCAGCCTGCTTAGGTGTACGGTGCCCTGCAACCGGGGATGTCCCAGGGCACGCATTTTCCCAGACCTTCTCACCCACCACCCAAGCTGACAGAAGGAGCCACCTTTCCCAAGGCAGTTTCAAAGCTGGGGGAGGATTCCTCTCCCTGAAAACAAAACTTTCCCTTCTCTGAAGAAAAAGGAGCAGCCCAGTCCTCGGGAGAAAACAAAAACCCACCTCCTGACCTCTCGCATTTCCATTTGCTACCCCCCCACCATGAACCAAACGTTCACGGTGCCTTGGGGGCCAGACTTCGGCGAACTTCACCAGACGCCTACCAAGAGCCATTTTTTCCACTGCAGAAGCGTGCCACGCTGTCTCTCATCCTCCTGCAGCGGGACAGGGAACCAGCCTCACCTCCCCAGCAGCAGCTCTCCAGCCAGCCCTCATGGCACTCGCAGTGGCAGTCCAGGAAGGTCAGGACGTCTCCTTTCGCCACAGATGCCCCCAGCAGCCGGGCTGGCACCAGCCCCTCTCGCTTATTTGCGCGGATGAGACGCACCTTGCGTAAGCCAGCCACGTAGTTTTCCAGAGTCTCCTTTAAATGCTCTGTAACAAGCAAAAACAAAAAAAAAAAAAAAAAAAGAAAGGAAGAATATAGTTCTGGAATGATTGGTTTATGTCATGTTACAGAAAGCTCTTTTTTCAGCAGCGTATTACTTCTAGCAGTGCCTGAAAGATATCGGCATTTTGAACTCTGATTCTGCTATACAGTCCAAATTAAGAAGGGACAAGTAAAAAGGGCAGAATTTGGATGAACACAAGTCACAGTTACTTTCAAGAAATAGAATGCTTCATATTTGGCTCTGTAATTCACTTTCTAATTGTTAAGTGCTTCTCAAATGTTATGTAAAACTTTTTCTGTGTAGGTTTATTCTTAACACAGTTCGTGTGCAGTGGAAAATTCCACAAGTGTGCTTGTCTCTCATAATTCAAATGAAAACAGGTAATCAGGCAGCTCTCACCATACTAGATACCAGGGCAACCTCGGAGCAACTGAAACTTGCTCAAATTAAGAAACTTGAAATGCTCCAACCAGACTGTAGGTTATCTATATATGCAAGCACTCATGTTAAACATAGCAAACGTGCTTCCCCATTCTAAACTAAACTTGGTCCAGAAGTCAAATTTTTCACTGGCACGCTACAAGAAAAACTATTTTTCAACTAGATGCCTATGTTGTACAATTTTATGGTATGTTACCCAAACAGCGTATCTTTTTCTCCTGTGGACTGGCTGACCAAAAAAACCCATCAACAATCAACATTATTTAGAATTATTCTTCCTACCTTTGTCACTGTAATCATCTACAAGGATAATTTCTTCCAAAAGTATGTCTGGAGATGTCTCCAGAACACTATGAACGGTTCGCAGGAGTGTTGACCAAGCCTCGTTATAAAAAGCTATCACAACAGAGGTTTTCGGCAGGCTGTAATAATCATACTTCTTCTCTCTACATCTGTAAGGGAGGGGATGACATTCAGTACAAGCACAAAAGCATTTGTTAATTTTAAAAAACTATTCGTGAACAAAGATTTTGTATGCTATTTACCCACCGTAAGCAAGAACATATAAAGGATCTTAAAAGAACTGCATATACACAGAAAAGTCATGCAAACGCTTTCAGAAAGCTGGTCTTCCACAAGTCCCATTTCCGCAGCAGCTTTATGACTAAAATTCTGCAGACCCCCCCTAAATGTCTAAATAGAAAAATAATAGGAGGTATTCTGGGGTGGTGTATATGCAGTAGCTGTCTTTCTACAAAATTACCCCAAGCAGAGGAACAAGAAATGGCCAAAACATGCCTCAGGTTACAGAACGGGGAAAAAAAAAATACAAAACATAAGTGTGGTAAAAACAGTACCATAAATTACTGATCACTTCTGCTTTGGAAAATAAAACAAGTGCTAGACATTAAAAATGTAACTGTGAAGGAACAGCAATATATAAGAGGAAAAAAAAAAAACAGCAACAGAACTGAGACGTATGTACACTGAAGCAGAATTTGGGAAGACCACAGAACTGCCAAGATATAACAGTGAAATCCACAAAAAACACAGACAGACACAGAACTGCATGTTTTTGGCTCTATGGAGAGCCAGGAAGTTTGCAAACCTTTGCATTAAGCTCCAGAATGTATCTCCTACAAATATATATATGAACTTCCTTAAATGAACATAAGGATGACAAGAAACTTACAGCTGAGCCAAATGTGTAAATTCTTAAAGATCCCCCTGGTCTGAAAGAATTTTAAAATAAAGATGGTATTTGTTACCATTTCTCCCCTTTTCTTAGTGCATTCTGTATGAGCAGCTTTGTTAAAAAACAACAGAAATGGTTTAGAGATGACCGAACTTTTCTATGCCTCTAGCTTACTGCCTGGAGTCACCAGGGCTTGTACAGAGCAGAAGGACATACTTCAGCACCTGTAGACTACTGGGTCATGATAGATATCGAAGGACATCCCTCCCAAGAATACAGACCAGCAGCGAGTCCTCCAAAACCTTGCGCTATGGGGAGCTGAAGAGGGAAACCAGAACTCATCAGTAGAAAACACGACAGCAAAATCCCTTAGGTCAATTTAGGGGAACCAAAATTCCCCAGAACACCCAGAAATGACTCCAAAAGAAAACTGCTTACCTATAGCACATTGATAATATATTTACTGGCTATTTAATGCTGCTGCATTTCCAATGAAAAGAACTTCCTATAGGTATCTTTAAAGATCTGGCAATAGCTATTAAGATCGTAGTACAGAAAGCAAAGAAAAAAGTCTGAATCTGAATATTTCTAAAATTAAAATTCTTATGAGGAAAAAAAAAAGTCTGTAGAGTACGTTTGTAATAAATACCTGAAAATGAGGAAGCAATGAGGAGAAATGACACTTGGGCAGAGGAGGCACACAGAAGGGTGCTTCTCAAACATGAAAGGAATGCTGTGCGACAACACTCCTTGTGTATGATGCGTATGCACGCACATGCACACACAGATACACATAGATAGGTAGATACATATACACACACGCTTATACAGTGAAGTACAAAAATCCCCGTCCCTCCAGGCTGTAACTTCTCCCGAGGCAAATCGGGGCATTCACAGAGAACTGCCTCACACCATCGGCTGGTGACAGAAGTGATTCATTTTGCCAAATGTTCATGTATTAACACATGAAAATGGAGTGACATTTTAATTAACTTATTTTTTTTAAAAAAAAAAAGGCAGAAAAACCTACTGTATGAATCTAATTTCAGAAATACATATTGACTTTAGCCTATTGAAAAATGTTTATGCTCAGTGCTGCCAGGAAAAAATTCTTCTTATATAACACAGTCACAGTCACTTGTACCAGGTAATTTCAGTTCACTTCTGGATGGAAATGGGATCTTTATGTACCAGTTTTAAAAAACTGAAAGAAAAAGGAAATAAATAGGAAAGCTCCAGGAAAGCTTTCTGGGGAAAACATCTCAGAAAGGTTCCTGGAAGCATAACGTTGTATTCCATTCTTTAAAAAAAGAAATCCAAAAGGTGTAAAGCAGCTTATAAACCTAATTATAGATTAAAGACTTCAACGGATTTTCCTGAAAATTACATGATGAAGACAGGAAACACGACTTGGCCCAGAGCAAGGCAATCCCCAAACCGTCTGTGACCCCGTGTGCATTGCTGCCTCCCCCGATAAGCGCGCCCCACACCACGGAAAAAGGTCGGCTTACTACGGGCCGTACCATAGGCCACCTTTCTTAGGTTTCTGAGGGCAAAAGAGGCCAAAACTAGACCGGGCTGGCCGGCTCCGCTGCACTGCCCCGAGCGGTGCCCAGGTCCCCTGCCCAGCGGGCCCACTGGACAAGGCTGACGACCCTCTCTCATTTTGCATATTGAAATACAGGGAGCACGACTGAAAGCTTAGCTTTTTAGCACATTGAGTTTATTTTGGGGAAAACACATCACCACATATAGACCAACTAATATTTTGAAACTTTTGCTTTTAAAAAATTAGGAAAAAAATAGTTATTCAACTTCTATGCAGATTTGCATGTTTATCTCAGAAATTATCTCCAAGATACATATTCCTTACTAGATTACTGCAATATCTCAATGGCTAGCAGTGTCAAATACTGTTGACAAAATGAAGCATAATTTCCCTTCCTGTTTTGAAAGAAATTTCAAAGAGTTTTTCTCAGTCTTAAAAAATAATCCCACTGGGGAAAATAAAAACCTCAAGTGTCTAAACTCTGGAAAAATAATAGTGTAAGAAAATAATTTTAAAAAAGAATGAACCCCTGTAGTGGAAATGCTTAGAAGTCTTGTTGAATAGCAGTTGAGCAGCATGCATCTGGACACTAAACATTACCACTTCACAAGGTACACAAGCTTCAAAAAAACTGACTACAAATACGAAGCTGACTTCAAGCCTAGTGTTCATAACCCAGCTTTTCCATTTCCCACCTCCTGTTTACAAGAGAACCACCTAAGCAGTGCATCTTCTGTATCCACCTTTGCAAACCTCAGGATGCATTTTTGTTCTCTGCGTGCCACCCAAGTAACTGAGCTTCTACTTTCCAAGTGAATCACTTCACTCCCACTTTGGGTTATTCACAAAAACAAACATGTATCAGTTATGATAAGTCATTAAAATGACAGGGAGGATACAAACTGGTGACAGCAGTCCAAAAATATGTTTTTGCAGATATTGGGAATGTATATTAATAATACCCATACTGCAAGCTGCTTTCAGCTTCTGACTACGGTGCTCTTCAGTGCCACCCTCAAATGTGTAACACTGTCCCTTTCCAATACAGGGGATCCTGTTAGCACAGGATTAATTGCACCTCACATTAGCCATCTCAAAGCTAGCTGCTATCTTTGAGCTAATTGTCTGGATGCTGCATGTCCACAAAGACAAATCCACAGGTGATTCGCCTCACCCTCCTTAATCTGTTTATCTAGCACAGACAAACAGACATCCTCCTTGTCTATAGAGGTTTAACAATAGAGCAGGTGCTTAACTTTTCTCTGGCTGAAGTTAAACGACAGGAAACTACCTATAGTCCCTACTACTGGCTGCCTGATACATCACCTTGAACCTAGTTCTTGCAACTGCCACACGATTTGTAAAAACATAACACAGACACGAAGAAATGAGTTGCCTGTAAACCTGACATTTCCAAGCACGGACAATGAGTGTAGAAGAACTGTCATTTGCGGTCCAACATATTCCTTCACTACTCTCATTATCTTACTCAACCACAGAGACTTTACCATTTATATAGATAATAATTACGTACACTAAAAAAAAAACCCAACACTTAAGTTAAAATGTGCGCATGTTGAGTGGGTTCCTTTTCTTCAGAAAAGTACACATAGCTCTAAGTCACGCTGATTCTGGAAAAAGTTACCAAGTACCTGGATCAGTCACTGAGAAAAAACCCATTGCCAGCGCACATGAGCAGCTTTTTTAAAGCCAACAAAACCAAGGCACGTTTTAAATAGCACTTGAATTTCACTGAAATACACCGATATATAATGGATAACGACAACGAGTAATGCGAAGCAAAGGAGCGGCATCTTCTCAGCCCTCCGATGGCTCCCGTTCTCTGCAGCCCCACTGGAAAACCCACAAGCAGCGCCTTTGGGCTCAGCAGAGCAGCACCCAGAGCAAAGGCGGCCGGGGGTGCCCCTAAGCTTCCCGCTGGCACTCCCGGCCGCGCTGGGTCCGTGGATGTTCCAGGAATCCTCCTGCCTGACCACCACGGCTTAAAAGGCAGCTATAGACCAAGAAACACCAAGCCACGCAGCTTTTCTTTATCAATTTGTAGTAAAATAAACATCTGCATTTAAAAAATTTTAACTGTATTCAGCCACGGATCTTTAAATTCCTATATGGGAGGAGAGAAAGAATAACACTGTGCCTAGACACAAAACCAAGTTCACCACGTACCATTTTTCCTGGATCTTTCGTTACTGCATCTACTCAAACATCTCAATCCCACAAAATGCAAACTGAAGCAAAGCAAGTAAAGGTCACAGTCTAAGCAAGACTGTGTAGCTGACAAGTTTAATAATTTAACCTTGTAATCTACCACACTACAAAGTCTCCCGTTAGCAAGTCTTACAATAGGTTATTTATTACAAACTAAGGAGACATCAGTCAGGAAATGCCTAAATAAAATTAAATGGGCTATTTTAGAGAACATTTGTGTCAACTAATGTAATCACTCAATTTATTTCATTGTAAGGAGCTGTTGCTCTCTTAGAGATGCGTGTCTATACACAGGGAGAGAGAGCGTGAATGTGTGCACACCGGGCATGCTGCCATGAGTTAATTAGAAATGGTTGCTGAAATAGTTCTGTCGGAGACTTTCACCACAACTGCAACAACAATACGGCAAGAGAAAAACATGTTTTTAATCTTTAAATTCTATATGCCAAGTTACTTGTATATTAAGAAAAAATATGAAATGTTCTGTAAATTTTCCAAGATTTGTTAAGAATACAACTGCCTCAAATTATTTCATGCTTTCTAAAGGTCTGCTTCTCTTTTGGAAATAATGTACTGGAACATTTTTAATGGAAAAAAAGTGTGTTTCGAAAATCAAGATGTTAAAATTGTTCTTGGCAATCCACAAAACCAGAACTGTTCTAGACTGCTGCAATTTTTAAGTTTTGCATTTGAAGCTTCATTACGAATGCCTGAAAATACGGAAAGTTCTGGATTCCGCAGCTTCGCTCGGGAAGTTCAAACCAGAGCGTGTCACTGCTCTATCTGATTTAACGTGATTTATGTGACTGCATTACACAGCACCACCGCAGCATCACCCAGCAGAGCTCGTCGGGACCCTGCCCCAGGCTGGGCTGCATGCAGCGGGCTCGCAGCCTGGCTTGCTGGGTTTGTCACGGCGGGTGGTGGACGTGCACGCTCACACCACCACCTCCTCCTCCCCTCCCGATTTGAAGAGCGCCGGGACATTGAATCGAACAGCAGATGCCCTTTCAGTAAGAGGCGTGCTCAAACGCGGCCGTAAGTAAAGACCGCTGATCGGGACGAACGGGCGTCTCGATCCGATTTCCCCTGTTCCGCTCCCCACCACACGCACTGCAGAGGCGGCGATGTGAACTCAGGACTCTGCCAGGCATCTCCACCCAAGAGACCACATCTCCTCCTCCTCCCTCCCAAAGCCACGGCAGAGGACACATGGGTGCTGGGGTCCTCTTCTCCCCTGCATTTCCACTGCTCCCTCCCCTCCCAAGCAGCTCCAGGCTTGGCAGGGCCACCCCCGAGCATCCCAAGCTCGGCACCAGGATACGGGTCACGGCGCCGGTTTCCGAGCCACCCTGCCACGTTACCAAGGCCGTGTTACCCACTCCAGGCTGAACACACATACAAACAGCCACTCCACACCCCTCCTCGGGGGAGAGCAACCTACTGATAAAATCCAGCGCGCCAGCCAACAGCGACACAGCCCT